ACAGACGTACTCCATAACAATTACTTTTGACAAATTATCAAGATGATGTACCTTCATGAAATATTACTGACATATTAACTGCTATAGAATAATTATATTTCCCTGTCAACGAACGAAATTTTCGAATAATTTGCGCTATGGATCTATTAAAACGAAATTAACCTTGTGGCATGCAATTAAAAATCCCTCAGATCTCAAACTTCTCGAGATCATCAGGTCTGCTTTGTTTTCAAGTGTTTCATCTCATCTAGTATTGAAACTCCCGAACGTTAGGTAAAAGATCTCAACAGTAAAATTCAATATTTATATCACAGCAAAGGAAAGAAATAATAAGGAGGAGAAAAATGTTGTATACCGACTCCGAAGAGATGTGCTATCCCTTAATTTGTACTCTAAATGAAATAATATTTCCACTCTCCACAATTCATTGTTCAAAAAAATTCTATTAAAGTTTTCGTAAAACAAATGAAAAAAAGCCTAATGGGAATCACGATAAGCCGTGAAATAAACTGTAAGGTTAGAATCCAATTATTCTCGCACGGCCGTTTTCTAGGAGCTATCAGGGACGGACATAAGCAGTCGGAATAGCAACGCTGAGGAAGACGTCGCTTAAGTACTCAATTTACATCCTAAGTTAGAGCTTTGGCGATTGACGGTGGGTGTGTTTATCGTCTCTTACGGCGTCACACCTGAACTTCAGCATAACGTATGTGAGCAGAAGTGAATTCCAAATGGGAACTTAAGTAATTTGCCATCGGGGTTTCCGTTATCAGACCACGCAAATTTTGGCGATTTGTCATCGTTCTGCCCATTAAATGTTTTCTTTTGCCATGTCCTCGCTGCCGTCGCCTACGTGGTTCGCTGGAGGTTCATATTTTTAAAAAATTTATTCGTAAGTGATTCGAAAGCAACGTTTACTCACCATATTTTGCTATTACCTGTCTTATTTTTTTCATCTTTGTACTAAATGACTATATTGAATGAAAGGGACTTCTTCGAATTATCTCTTCAAGGAAGCTATTTTCACTGTTGTTCGGAAGACGGTAAGCATGTAAAGATCAAAATAAAACTTGGTTTTGATATTTCTTGATTACATAGAAGTGCGCTAAAGCTAATGACTTTACATGGCTTTACCCTGGTGTAAAGCAAAATCTTAGGAAAAGAAATGCCACATTAACACCTCTGCTAAGCCATAAAAGAGATTTGTATCAACCTTGGGTTAGCTTAGTCGTGTTTTGACCAACCAGCGCATGATTTCTAACTTCTGAATTTGTAATAATCGGATCATTTTCACCTGGTATAAAGTCCGATCAAGTGTAACAGCGAACAATTTGAGCCTTCCCTTCCCTCCTAACAGCTTAGTTCAACTTTTTGAGAGGCGTCAGTCAAACCGGTATCAACGAAGAAAGCGTGGTTAAACCTTGCTCTAAATTCCTTTATAAGGGCTACCTAGATGTAATTGCACTGATTGGATATATTGGATATTATCTATACGGGCAAAAGATTTAAATTCATGAGAAGAATGACAAATCAAGACACGCGTTCCGTAAAAAACTGACATACACATTAGAGCATTAGCATGCAAGGACCTAGAGTAGTTACGTTTGGAAATACACCGTTCAAGCGTTTGCGCATGTGCGAACGTCGAAATCACTAGGTGGCGCCACTTCAGGCCGTCAGAACAAAGTTGTCTTACACCAGTTATAAACAACCAAATAAGCGAGTGAATCACGGTATTTTAAAACGTATAACTCTCTTGATAAAGCATAAAAAAGAATGATAAATCAACGAGATACCCGTAATTGAATAAGCTTCGTGTTCGAGAAGTCTCGAGTTTTCCTTTTCCCTACTTTTGTTTCCGCTATCACGAACGTTTCAATTTCCTTTCGCTTAGTTTGCATCACAACTGTTGTTCCTTATGCTTTTCTTAGAGATTTAGCGCGAGAAATTGGTGTGCAGGCGCCCAAAATGAATCCCCCTTGCGTATGTCCTACGTTTGACCGCTGCGTTGGTTTGGTTTGCATGTGTAATGAGCCCGCGATCTTACCCCCTGACATAGTGCTCTCGGTCTCGGTCGCCATGTTCGTTTGGGTAAGATTTAGCTCATTAAAGCCCATACAGCTGTTGTCAAATACCCAATCGGAGAGGGGGGGGGGGGAAGGGGAAGGAAAGGAAACAGGATACATCCAGCCCCCTCCCCTAGCTCCCCCAGTCCCGGTACCCCAGTAAAAATGACAAACAAGCCTTTGTCAGAGTGCTACTCAAATTGTGACATTCCCCGCTCTCTTCCTCCCACAGCTTTATTTCAACGTAAATTTTTTTAGATGCTTTTTAAAACTCGCAGAGACGACGGTTTATAAAACCAGTGATTATTTATCGCCTAAGGAGGAGAGGGGGGGGGTTGGGGGTGGGGTTGTTGTCGGAGGATTGTAGGGGATCACATGGTTTTCAGAGAATTGAGGGGGGATCAGTTGTCCCTGACAGAGTATAAAGGGGAGGAGGACTATATATTATTGCCTGCTTGTAAGGGGGGGTGGGACTAGAATACTACAGAGCCTTAGGGGAGGATCAGATAAATGTTTTTGCGACAAAACCCAAATTCTCCGACACCCCCTTCCCCTTCCGCCCCCCACCTCCTCTCCGGCTATAGATAAGACCGGTCAGTGGGTGGGAAGAGATGATAACGGGCTCAAAGCCTTATTTCAAATTAAAGATCAAAGGAAATATTGTCCAGCTTATATTCCCTAAAGCCGACCCCATCTTTTTCGTTTTCTATTTTGTTTGTCGTATGAATTCCAAATTATTTGAAAAGATAAAGACGCAATAAAAGCTTCCCAATCCCGTGAATAGCTGGATTTTCGACAAATGAGTTTTAGTGCCTGTTTTTATATCAGCAACACTAACAGACATTTTCCCTTCCTTTTTATTAACACGTAACGTGTAAGCTATTCCTTACACACCCCTCCCCCACTATTTCCTAAAGGAAAAGATGTTTTCTTTCTAAAAGTTGCTTCGCTAGCAACAAGTTCGCATCTGAATCGACTAACATTCTTTTCGAGAAAATTTCTAAAGCGTTTAAAAGTTTCGCTTGGACATCTTCATAGGTTAGCGTTCACTACTTTCGATTAAGAGTCCCTTCGATGAGATCGCTAGTTAAGTAAGAGAAAAATTTGCATATTTAAAAACAGTGGAACGGATGAGAGATTGTGGGTATTTTGTTTAATCAAAGTGGGAAATAACATTTCTGTAGCAGAAAGTCATCTGAGATAAAATCAGAAAAAATAGGCGTGTCAATTCATCATTTTCAAGAGAGCAGCTATTGTCAAACTTGATTCATGCCGTCGGCGATAAAGGCCCAACATGTAAAGGAAGATAATCAGAGCAACGCTTAATATAATTTTTTGACCATTAGAATTGTACATTTTGTGTTGGTAACAACTAATTGCCTTGGCTCAAGGTTGCCTATGTCACTTTAAACACATTCAACTTAATTTTATGACTATTCTCCTCACGTTTTTTCCAAATAATGTACTGATATAGCGACAAAGAACTTACAAGCTAGTTACTTCTGAGAAAATAGTAACTAACACGCTATTCATAAAAGTAAAAAATTTTTCTGCTAAGGCTGGTTATAATGGAATAAAAATCAGCAATAGAACACTGAAAACTGAATTTTACAATGGCTTCAAGTAATCGGTTACCTATCATTAACCAGTGCAACTTCTATGAAGAAAACACAATTCGAACCGCGTTTGACAAAACAGTGCCAACACGTGTATTATCATTGGTGTGAAGGAAAAAAACAAACAAACAAAAACAAAACATAACAAAACAAAAAACGAGAAAAAAAGCACGTGGAATAAGAGATTAAAAACTTGAAAGAAAAGTTAAGTATGGTTTTGGTAAGTAGTATCAGTGAAGCGAAAGATATGTGATTTCAATGAAGTTTTCAAACTGATACTTGCTTAGACCCTAATATGGACCTAAAATTTTAAAGCTTTAAAAGAGCAAATGATTAATGTTTAATGATTTAATGTTTAACGTTCGACAGTTAATCTGTCGCCAAGTTTAAAAAGTTTCCTGCTTTAGGATGTGCTTAATGTGTAAAGAGATTATTTTAGCTTTTAGTCCTAATAAAATCGATTTTAAGAATTTGAGTGTAAAATTATCATTCGTTATTGAATAAAAGCTATACCTTTTTTTGCACTTACGATATCCAGCATATTGTGTCAAGGGTAACGAAATGGATTTTAAAGCTAAGAAATTAATTGCTTCCAAACCCTCTTCAGTCCCTCATTTCCCGATTTGTCTCTTTGAGGTTTCAAAGTACTGACTAACTTATTATAGGATATATAAGGTTTTTTTCTACTATCAGTGTTTCAGCTATAATCCTGTCGTTCTGATTCACATCGTGGTAAAAAAAAATTAGTGTACCCGGGTCATTGGATTGTGGGAAAGTATTGGAAAGCAATTTTCTCTTTCTGCCTTTTAAGACTTAAGATGAATTATAAGTTTGTGAGCGAAAGCTATTGATAAATTAGTCATATTACCACCCACAGATATCTCAATATATGCTTTTTTTGTGGTCGTTTTCATAGCTAAAAGAGAATAGCTTTTGGGTATTTTAACCCGTTGACAAACGAGCTGGCTAAGAGCGGATTTAAATGTCCTTCCTTTTCTGATTTACCTGAAGATTCATGATGCACTGTTGGTAACACAAATATCTTTCAAACATATGACAATAAACGACATTGTAAAGGGAAGGTTAAATAATTCCGAGGTCGAAATTGTGCTTGCCGCCAAAAGTCTAATTCGATATTTTTTACTTAGCTTAATACCGCTTTTTCCAGTAATTAAAAACACATTAGAAACCTTAGATGTTAAATCTTCAATAAAAGCTTTGTTTCTGCTAAAATTGTGGACTATTAATGCAGCTAATTATGATGAGAGCCCGTTCATGATGCAGGTATATAAAGCGTGTTTGCAGATATTTTTGTAAAGTACACAAGCCCTACAGAAAACCTGACACGACTTCGCGCGGATCATTTCAGCCATGAAAAAGTTCTCCGGTTCTTTGGTTCTGTTGTGCATTGCTGTCTCATTCTTGCTGTTGACTTGTAATCCGGAAGTGGAAGGTGCGGCACCCATGGGTCCAGGCTCCATAAACGTGGCCAAAAGATCCAGATCGGAGGTAAAATTCCCCTTTTTTCTGACCTCAAATCTGCTTTTGATTTGTTGAACACCGGTAATCAGGAGTTTAAGTGAAAGCAAGTTACTGGCAGTCTACCGCTGCCCAGAAGACCTCATGCCGCCCCGCCGTCTGTTTAGCCTGGGTTTCGCCTTACGACCCCTTAACGGGTATTGCCGCCTATGATACCATCAGTAGGCGCTTATGGAAAATGCTATTGCAACCCCTGTTTTGTAACTGCACTTGTAGAGAATGATCAGAGGTGTTTAGCGTTGAGTTAGTGGCCATTGACACGAATTCGATGGCAACAAAACTTGCCAGTTTTTTCTCCACTCACCCACTCGGTTTTTATTTCCTTAGCTTTTGCCCAAACTTTCTTTTTTTCTATGCCAATGTAAACACTCGATGTTGAAATTATAGCTCAGCTTCACTGGTGGCGTTTAATCTGATTAGATGCAAAAACAGCTACCTTAAATCATCTAGTATTTCGAATCAGTCACATAGCATTTTGTTTTGACGGGTGCCATAAACCTGGCTAAATGCCCTCGCCATTTAGATCGATTTTAAACTCCACAAGAAGCCAAAAAAAAATCGCTGTTTTTCAAGAACCCTCTCAAGTAATGAAAACAAAAGGCGACTTATTCCGTAAATGCAACCCAATTGAACTCATACTGTACACTTTTATTTTCAGTTTTTTCATTCTCGAAGGAGCATCTGTGAGGCAGCACGTGCTCTGAATTGCCTGAGAGATGACTAACACTAACAACAGCTGGAAACACGAAGCATAAAGTAACCTGGTCTAAATTGTCAATAAAGTAAATGACTGTTTAATGAGCTCCTCATTCTGATGTTTTTATCCTTGGCTTTACCACCTGTCGCTTTTCACAGCAGTTTTGGAATAGGTTTATGAAACAGTACACCTAAGCTAGCATTACGAACCCTCAACAGTGCACCCGCGCTAGCTTCTCGTACCTTCAACCCTGTTTAACTCTATCAAAAAAAAAAAGACAGAATTGGCACGGTTTGCTTGACAACGTCTTAATTCCATGAGCCATCAAGTCAGGCTTCGTCTCAAAGCCAAGAAACAATTACGCTTTTTGCCGCAATTCTGAGGTGATTTTTTAGCTGTCTTCAAAGGTGTCCTTCCAAGATCGTTCTAAATGATAATATTTTGCTTAGAATTTTAAATTTTCAGTTTTGACATATTTCAAAAAGAAAATTCACCCAGGAAAGGACACGCCATATTTTTCATTATCTTTCCCATGGTAATTGGGTATGAAGAAACAGCCGCGAAAAAAAAATTATATATATATATATGTATATATTATTGGACGTTTTGGTGTATAGCATCTCTGAGTATTTTTACGCGGTGTTCCGTATTATGACGAGCCCGCAGAGTGAACCAAAATAAAAAAAAACGAGTAACTGCTTTGTCTTATACACATATCGTATAAGATGGGAAAAGCGGAGCAGGCGGGGAGGCTTGGCACACACAGCCGATTTGGATAAAAAAGGTGCTATATTACATTGGCTTAAGTGCTTTAAATGCAACGCCTCTGCCACAATTAAAGTGCGGAAGAATGTAGTTGTTTGTTGTGGCCTAAAACCAAGGACTTCAGGGAAGTCAAAGTCCATTGACGCCATTCCCAAACAACTTGGTCACTAGTAGTTCCCATTAGTTTGTAGAATTCACTCTTGCAGTCAGAATGAAAACGTATTTTAAGATTCTATTTCATATTTGGCTGTTTGTTAAAATTGGTGATGGATTAGTGCTCATATTAACTTGATCTGTACGGAAGGTGCTCACATTGATTAAAAATATTTTGACATTAAATTGTTTAAATCGTTGTATTTATACATTATTACTGCTCTCTGCAAGTAGGATAAACCTTCCCCCAGCTGCTCCTTTCAAAGAAAGAATCTTTTGGTAAATTTATGCGACACGCCGGCTTTTATCTTCCTTACCACCTAAAAAACCTTTCGCGGGAAAAAAACACGGTTTCAATTTCGCTTCAGGAGGCTAAAATCGGGTAAATCAAAGGAATAGTAATTATTTATCGGCAGAGGGAGAACTTCGGAGGTTTTTTGAGGAGGATTATATGATTTCATGGGAAATAAGGCGGGATCAATTGTTGATAGAAAATAGACAATAGAGAATTGATTTTTCCTCAGAAAAATAATTGTTCTACATTCCTCCCCTTAATGCAGTGTGTGACAAAGGTCTATTCACTCCCCTTTGTCTCCTCTCGTCTGTTCTTTAGGAACATAGCTACGCAGGTTACGGTTTTCTGATGGGGTTAGTTATCAATTCTGCATTGCTAAAATGTAGAAAACATATCTTTAATGCTAATTTTTTTTCCTTGTTCGCGTTTTGGCGCGGAATATCTTGTTTGGCAATACCCAGGCAAGGTCTGTAACCTTATTAGAGAGAAGATGCATATGACAATTTTATGTTCCTTTTCGTTGTGAGTGGATGCAGTGGGAACGGCGATACGTGTGGAAGCGCTGTAACGAGACTAAAAACCTGCTGAATGCGATATTAGTCAAACGGTTTTGCAGTTAATTGTTTTTTTGACAACTTCTATCTTTAACGATATCGTTTGCGTAAGTGAGAGATCATAAACATATTGATTTACAGCAACTTGATAAACAAGCAATATGCAAGCTGCTTCATCAAACTACCAGAGACTCCCTTTTTTTCCGAGAATCGTCAGGCAAGAGGAAAGTCATAAGTCGCTCGTTTACCCTCTCCGAAAAGGAAAAAAGCCAGCAAATAATAGCTAAAAAAAGCCACACCGTTTTAAGTGCTTTTTCTGCCTTAGTTAAAATTTGAGTGACCTGATCGTTATATGTAATTCAGTAGATTGACGTATGTGAAAAATTATTGCTACTTCTTGCATTTTGAAAATATGCAAAATGACTGTTTCTGTGGCACCTTTTAAAAGATCGGTTTCTCTAAAGTCCAATCTGCATGATAAAGGGAAGTGTTAGCAACAGAAAAAAAAATGCCAGTGGCTACAATGTTTGAATCATCATAACTTCCAGAGGAAATGTTGTTAACATATTTCGAAGCAGACAGTTTTCGAAAAAAGCTTCTAAAAGGAAGATTCGATGTTCCATTGCATCGTTCTACAAAGCTACCGGGAATTTTCTTGCGAAAGGTTTGTGGGGAAATTGAAAATGGGGAGAAGCTTAAAGACGACTGAGAAACTAATCCATTGATCACAACTAGGTCGTTGCATCTGGCCGAGGATTAAACTCATTTGATAAGTCAGAAAATTGTCGTGAAGGGATAATTTACCAAAGACAAACGTACAGGTATTTCGATTTGAACTAATGGTTTTTCCTCAACTTTTCACTTAGGCGGCTCTCATATATTTATTTAAAACCTGATATCACGCGTGGAAAAACGATCTCATGAATTTCATCGAGGGTCTCATGACAAATGGAAAACAAGCATTCCAATAACCTCATATTATAAATAAAGCCCATAGCACTTCCTCCTTAAACTTGCTCCAGCACCACGCTGTCTGTTTCTACAAGAAAAGCAACAAGGAGATGGAAGCAAAAGCGGCACTGAACATCTTGTTCCTGTTCTCAATTCTTCTGATGCAAGGATCCTATGTTGAAGGAATATTTGGAACTTCGTGTATTAGAGGAAGAGACACCAGGCCGGTAAATAACCCTATTTGTTTCCTTAGAAACCATTGTGATTCTTCCCAAATTACACCAGTCTGTGGAAACTGAGAACTAGAAAAAAGAGACTAAACAAAGCATTATCCATGATTATCAATTGCATAGGAAATTGGCAGGCTTTTGAGCATGGCAAGGTATTTCTAATTCGTAGAAAGACTCTTCAACAGCTACGTTGGTAATTAAGTTTTTCTTCCTTTGTAGGCGTGCAACCCCGCAAGTAGCATGAAAAGGCATGCACGACGAATCTGTTCGACTGCTCGAGGGCTGGATTGTGATCAGATCCTACGGGACGACTACTCAGGTCATGAGAGCCAGGAACAAGGGAATTTCTAAGCAATAATGCGTGAAAAGTTTAATCAAATCAAACGTCGCTAAGATCATTTAAAATCTAAAAGTAAAGCAAACACAGGAAAATAAAACTTATGTCTGATATTTTGTATGTTTTTCTCCTTGGTCCATTTTCACTTATTATTAATAATCAGAGAAATTAATGCTGTAATAAACGGCGTTCCAAATTATTGCTGTCGATATTACACGGCGTTCCAGTAACTGCCCGCGAACAAATGCCTCATAACGAATAAAAAATGGTGTTTGCAACGCGCCTTACTCACTTTCCCATTCATATTTAAAATGATAAGAAAATACTCTCTGACGAAAAATACGCAGTTAAAAAGAAGTACTCCGCGCAGTAAAGGTGAAGTCAGGCAAAATATACGATGAAAAAGGAGAAGTTCGCCATGCAGTAAAGGAGAAACTGCATAGCTTAACCCTTCCCGTTTCTTTTTCTGTTGCCCCAGTTAACATTTTAATCCCCCACAAATAGAGATCATTTTGACATGACGCCACAGCGGCCTCGTTTTTTAGAACCGAACGCAGCAGAAAGGCGGCCGTGTCAGTGTCCAATTCAGTCCCATGGGATCTGAGCTATTTTCTCAAGCAGAACAGTGTCCTTTGTTCCAATAAATTTAGATGGGGGCAAACAGGAAGCCGTTACGGACTCTTGGTGCAGACCAAGTGATCTTACTCTGTCTCATTATTGACGATCTCTTGACTGAACCAGACTTCAAGCGCTGTTTCTCGACTTGTAGGAGTTTATTAGAACATTATGAGAAATTCTCAGTAAGGGTATGCCCTTGGCCTAGTGCAAAATGGGTTCCCCTACTCTTCCCCCGCCTCCCACAACGTTTAAATGCTCTGTCGCCTTTGTTAAATCTTAATGTGAAACAGCTTTCTCAAGAACAATTTTTTAGGGGATTGAGCATTGTCGTTGGATCAAACAAAAAGAGAACCTTATCATGGTTCAACCGTTCACCAGGTTACTCTAAATTGGCCAACACTTCCCAGTAGTCTATTGCGGGTTTTATGATATCTCGCGGGTAACGATCCAAAGCCTGACCATTTTAGCTTTTCGACGTCATTTTGGACTGACTGAGACACATGTCCTCGATGTCATGCGCTGGATAACTGTGGGGAACCGTAATGAATGCGTTTTAGAAAGAGTGAAAAGTCACAAACTCGGTATCGCTCAAACGTCACTCTTTTTTAATTGTCTTAGGCTTTTCCCAAATGATTTACATCAAATATAGTTCCAAGTCTGCTGAGATCCTAAGCCTGCATCATCTTCAGGCTGGTCACGTCGAACTTTTTCGCAGTCTATGCGTCTGGCAATCGAACATATCTGTCTTCTGCCCAGCCTTTTCTTACAGTTCTGTGATTGACGAAATCACATGAAAGAACACGTACATTCTCTAGAACTTAACTAAAAGATAAGAAAGAACTACCTTTTGATTCAGAAGAAGACATTTTTCAAAAGCTGGTGTAACTAGTTCGCTGCTAACCTAAGGAAGAGTGATGGTTGGTGCTTTCACAAAGCTTGATTTTAGGGACAGAGAAAAGCATTTTCTCCTAAATAACGCTAGTTTTTAACTAGAACTTGATCATGATTATGAGATAAAGCTGGGTTTGCTTAACTAATATTTCTGATAAGGCAAAATACGTACTCTACAGTTAATAAAACAGAGAAACTTTACCGGTCTGGGATCGTTTTTAGCGCAAAACATTCCAATTCCAAAGCTGTTGTCTATGAGAAGAAGAGACAACATAAGTATAGCAAACACCATTCTCTTGTGCATCGCGTC